GGGGGGTTGTTTGTCTCCCTCTTTTTCTCCACCCCTCCACTTTATCAAATAGGATATCCTTCTCCAGGGACTGGTCCCTCCTGATAATATGTCCAAAGTGTGAAAGACAAAGTCTGGCTATCCTGGCTTCCAAGGAATATCTATTCTGGCTTCTTCCAACACAGATCTATTTGTTCTTTAAACAGTCCTTTGTACTTTCACTATTTCCTTTGATACCAGGACAAATTCATCTCTACGAAAAAGATTAGCTCAAAATCTCTCAGCTATGGGTATGCACCAAATTGCTTGGAAAGTTGTAAAAATACATATGCCTGGGTCCCACCCAGAGATTCTGATTTAATTGGATGAAATTTTAACAACTTCTAGGGTATTCGAATGTGAACCAACTGGGCTAGCTCAGGCTATATTGTTCCTATCAAAGGTCAAGTGAATGTAGCTAAGGAAAACCTCCTAAGTTTACTTACAGTCCCCATTATCTCAGGCACCCATAACTCTCAATTTCTGTCTCTCTAGGAGTCTGATGAAGGAGCTCTGGTAGTAGTGGTTATGAATCGGGCTGCAAACCTTAAGGTCAGCGGTTTGAAACTACCAGCCGCTCCGCGGGAGAAAGATGAGGCTTTCTACTCCCGTAAAGATTTACACCCTCGGAAACCCTGTACAGGGTTGCTATGGGTCGGAACCGACTCTACGGCACTTAACAACAACAACAACAAGGAGTCTGATGTGGCCCTAACGGATAAACACTGGACGGCTAACCCCAAGGTCAGCAGTTCAACCCTACCACTCACTTCTTGGAAACCCTATACAGGGTCACTACGAGTTTGCACTGACTTGATGGCACTTAATAACAACACGGTCTTTCAGTGGGGAACTTTATCCAGACAGAGCTCTAGTTCAGCCCAGACATTAGTCTCCTTTTCAGCCACAATCCATAGTTTTCTCAGGGTCCCACTCTAGGATGGGTCTTGTCAGATCTACTAATTCAAGAAAAGGCACTAATGACTGGTATCAAAATAGAATTATTAAAGGATACCATAAAAATAAGGAAATTGTGAAATCCCCTTCCAGTTACTCTTGTCTGTAGCCACTTGCTGTTACTTGGGATTCAAAGAGCCAGACATGTGGGAATGGCTGGCAGAGTCAACGAGGGTAAACACTGTCCTGTGGGCAACTGTCAGAGCCTACTCTATTAAGTAGGTTGCCCCTGCCCCTAACGCTGTTCTTTAATCTGGTCAACTGGTCACCCTGTCATAAAAAGATATTAAGTATTATCCATGAATTTTTCCCCCAAATTACTGCTCTGTATTTCTTTAAACCTGGAGTTAAGGTCGTTCCCCACATTAACATCCCTCTTCCCCAGTGGAACCGTGAGTCCATATCTATACCTAATCTTAACTAGCCCAGAGTCCCACTTTCTAAATGTGAATTTATGCTCTGCTATGGTTTATCCTTCTTGTCACAACCCATCAGACATTAAAATGGAAGTTATGCTGTAAAGGTAGAAGTTTTGTAACAAAAGAGGGGGAGTAGTTAATCTTACAGTCCAGAAATAGAAGACCGTAGGACCATCAAGGGAAAAGAGCACAAGTGGAATGTGGGACATTATCCAGAGAAGCAGCAACACCAGAGATGGAGGCAGAGATGTGGACATGGAGAGACGGAGCAGCTGAGGACTCTAGACTCATGGAAAGAGAAAGGCTGTGTGCTGGCAGCCAGGAGGCAGGCTTACCAGAATGTGCCCTTTGGTTGTTTAAATGATTTTATATTCCTGAGTGTTTTTGTGTACATCCTCCCACCCCACCCCACCCCAAAAATAAACAGAGGGAATGGAAGCAAATACTGTTGAATGATGATGCACAGAGAAGATTGTAATCACTGCAATGAAACAATGGTGTAAAGCCAATTCAGTTCAAAACAATAAAAACTTTTAAAAAGTAAAAAATAAATGGAAGTTAATGGTCTAGCTTAGCCCTATGGAGCCTACAGACAGTACATATGAATTTCCTTACAGCAACCAGGTTCCCTTTGTTATATACTGCACCTAGCATTGTCAGGAAGACAAGACTTTGCCCTTATAAAGTGGTCTTGGCCTCTTTGACAGTATGTGCCATGCATTTGATCCACCCTGAATATTCCCATGTCCATCTGCGACTTTGTCTCTAACCAAGCACTGGCCCTGTCTTCTTCTCTCACCTCCAACCTTTTTGTGTTTTTACCTCTTGGTATGACATGTCTTGGCACCTTGTAGTTGACTCCTGCCCTTGCCTCCCAGACTGACTGTGCTTATGTACCTGTAGACACCTGTGGATTGCCATGCTCTCACACTGGACTTGACCTTGGCCTGCTGCTCCTTCTGCCAAGTTGACCTCATCCCTGCCTGGGTTTGGTCTTGCCACACCCTGCCCACAGTCTGCAATGCCACTTCTTTGTTGTCAATGGTATTCAATGTTCCTGTCTCCTGGTTGTTTTACAGGGAAGAGGGCTAAGTATGTTTACCATTAAAAATCTCTGTCCTTTGAATGGTATCGCATAACCAGTTTATTTCTTCCAGCTAATGGGAAGGGCCATAGCTTTCTTGAAACTTTTGTTTTTCCTATGATATTGATAAAAGAGAAGTTTCCCTATTTTTCTGACAGCCTCAGTCCCCTGACCTATCTAGATGATCACCTACTGATCCATTCTCCTATCTTTCATTCTGTGTATTTCAGGCTCGAGCTGATGATCAGTTAGTTACATTTGTTCTGTTATATATAAGGTTACCATGAGTCAGAGCTGACCTCAGGGCAACTAACACCATATTGGTTGTTGTTGCTGTTAAATGCTGTAGAGTCACTTTCGACTCATAGCGACCCTGTGTAGGGTTTCCGAGGAGTGACTAGTGAGTTTGAACCTCCAATCTTGTGGTTCAAACCAACCTTGCAGTCCTGCACTGATCCTACAGTGCCACACCAGGACTCCAATAGTTACACAAACTAAATACCACTTGGCAATTTAGAAATACAAAGGTCCTGATAAAGGAGAAAGGCTAGAAGGGAATAGTAGTGGCCACTCACCTGTTTGAGCAAGCATCCCTGCTTAATAATGATCCCTCTGAATTCTTCTCTCAGAATCACATCCTCATCACTGGAATTCTCTTCACAGAAAAAACCACTGTCTGGCTATTGGGAAAGCAAATAGCAAGTTCACATTACCAATCTTGGTGTATTGCTACATGTACCAACTTCCTGTCCTCCTCCCCTCCAGCCACCATGTCCAATACCTCCTTCTTCTCCTCCCCCCACCCCTGTGATTGTCTTTATGAGGAATTTAAGGTTCTTTTGGGGTAGCCATCTCCCCTTCTTTTTTGTTTTCACATGCTGCTCCACTCCTCTCTTTAATTATGACCTCATCCATAACCTTCATTTTCTTGGGTTCCTCAAGCTACACACTGAGACAAACTCAGTCTTTCTTCATTATGGCACACATTTTTGCCTCCAAGGATTTCTTCCTATTGGAAGCTCACAGCTGGATCTTTGAAAGCACAGTGAACAGATTTGCAAGACACTGTGCAATTCCAACCTTGTTGTTGTGAAGTGCTGTTGAGTTGATGCTGACCCTTAGAGACCCTGTACAAGGTTTCCAAGGCTATAAATCTTTACCGGAGCAGAAAGCCTCATCTTTCTCCCATGGAATGGCTGGTAGTATCAAACTGCTGATCTTGAGATTAGCAGCCCAATTCGTAACCATTACGCTACCAGAGCTCCTTAATTCCAACCATACTACCCCCTTTTGCCTCTTCTCCTGCTTTAAGAAGACTGAGAGCAGGCAGTGATTCTTATAAGACCAAGAGGAAATTGAGACTTGCCAATTATAGAAGTCCTGGTGTGGCGCTGTAGGTTAAAGCACCAGACTGCAAAGCTATTTGAACTACAAGGTCGACATTTCAAGCTCACCAGCTGCTCCTTGGAAACCCTATACAGGGTCACTATGGGTCGGAATCAACTCGACCAGCACTTAACAACAATTATAGAAGAGAAGCCATTATGGTGGGTATTTTCAGAATCTACATTTAAATGGCTATATAAAACTAGAATAAAAGTCTAAACCAACAAACAAAAATACTGACAGTGAAACTTCCTCCAAATAAGAAATGGAAGTCTCTCTGGGTCATTCATAACATTGTGGTGAGAAGGATGATTCTCTTAAACAGCTTCCTAATGTCTGTCCACTTACTCAGCATAAAAATAAAACTGTCAAAACCCCCTGGAAAATTTACTGTGACAGGGTCTCTCATATGGCCCATGTTGTGTAATACAGTCTTTCCCAACCTGCGGTAAGCAAACCCTAAAAGGAACACAAGGTGATGGGAGGAGAAAATGTAGATGAACAATTTTTGCACTAATAGTTGTGTGGATTTATGTACTGGAGGGACATACTAACACATGACACCTGTGTTTTTATGAATCCTCCTCTTGAAAGGCAGCTCTGTGGGGGCCTGAACTTTTTTGCTGTTCTGATGTGGGGTTTTTGTGTTTTATTTTCACTACTTTTATCTTCTTTTCCAGGAAAGTGCCTGGCATGTACTGATAAATTGTTGTTGTGTACCTTGAGTCGAACCCGACTCATAACAACTCTGTATGACAAAGTAGAACTACCCCCACAAGGGTCCTTGTGTGGCACCACAGGATAAGCACTGGATGGCTGGGCACAAAGTCAGCGATTCAAAAACATTAGCTGTTCCTTGGAAACCCTATGCAGAGTCACTATGAGTCGGAACCGACTCGATGGCATTTTAATAATACCAACAATCTTTATGGGAGTAGAAGGCCAACTCTGTTTCCCACAGAGTTGCTGGATGAATTTGAAACACCAGCCTTTCTGTTAGCAACGAAGTGCTTAACTATTGTACTTCCAAGACTTTTTTGACATGAGTTCTGATGTGGCGCTGTGGATTAATGTGCCAGACTGCAAAGTTGGTTTGAACTGCAAAGTCTGCTGTTCAAGCTCACCAGCCAGCCACTCCTGGGAAACACTATACAGGGTAGCTATGAATCACAATGGCCTCCACAGTACTTAACAACAACAATGGGTCAGAACCAACTCGATGGCACTTAAGAACAACAGGGAGTAAGTAGGAGGCCTGGTGTAGCACTGCAGGATAATGGTTTGGACCTCAAGGTCTGTCTGAACCACAAGGTTGGCGGTTCAAACCCAGCAGATGCTCCTTGGAAACCCTGTACGGGGTTGCTATGGGTTGAAACAGACTCAATGGCACTTAACGACAACAAGGGAATAAATAGGAGTCCTGGTGTGGCGCTGTCGGATAAAGCACTGGAAAGCAAGGTCAATTTGAACCACAAGGTCGGTGGTTTAAACTCACCAGCCGCTCCTTAGAAACACTATACAGGGTCAGTGTGAGTCAGAACCAACTCAATGGCACTTAACAACAACAATAGGGAATAAATAGGAGTTCTGGTATGGCACTGTAGGATAAACACTAGACTCCTAACTGGGAGGTCAGTGGTTCAAACCCACAAGCAGCAGCTCCGTAGAAACACTATACAGGGTTGCTATGCATCAGTAACAGACATGAAGGCATTTAACAACAACAGGGAGTAAATAATAGTTTCTTAAAGCTGATTAATTTAAACACAGCACGTCTTATGGGGGACAGTTGTCAAGTCTGGGAAGCATTAGCTTAATAGAAGCCTTGTTGTTGTTGTTGTTGTTGTTTTGTGCCGATGTGCCGTGGAGTTGGTTCCAACTCATAGCCACCCTGTGCAGGGTTTCCGAGGCTGTAAATCTTTACGGGAGCAGAACGCCTCATCTTTCTCCTGCAGAACAGCTGGTAGTTTCGAACTGTTGACTTTGCGGCTCGCAGCCCGATTCGTAACCACTACGCTACCAGAGCTCCTTAGAATAGAAGCCTTAAGATCTACAAATAAATCGGTGAATGGGCCTTGAGGCGTCAGGTATTTTCTTGATCTCTCTTGACTCCTTCTCATCTCAAACAACTTTCTGTAGGGCTGGGTCCTTTCTTTCTCATATGTGAATAAGAATAGAAATCAATCTGGAATCTGCCCAGGCAGCTCCATTACACCAAGAACAGATGGGTAGTCGTCTCACTTACAAAGTAGTAGAAGGCATCAGCATTGTCCAGGAAAGGGCTATCAGAGGTGCCATCCACTGCCGCCTTGGATAGGTCTCCTGCAGGCTGCAGGTACCCTTCATTGAGCAGTGATGAGGCAATCATGAGACCTTCCTGGCGATTCCGAATGGACTGGTTGGATAACAGCCAGTCGATGACACAGCTACCTGGTTGAGGTCATCAGAGAGAAGTTAACTCCTTAACTAACCAAAGAGCAAGACCGTCATAATCACCCCTGAACTGTCTCCAGAGCACCCTGTGTCTGACTTGTCTCATTTTCCTTCTTATTCCAAGATGGAAAGAAGAAGATCAGTGAGAGAGATACTTGAAAACAAAAGAAACCATCTAAAGGGATTTCTCAAGTACCTGAGTGGTATGAAAGGTTGCATGCTTGGCTACTCACCAAAAAGTTGGTAGTTTGAGTCTATCCAAGTATTCCTCAGAAGGAGGCCTGCCAATCCACTTCCCCTCACAATCAACCATTGAAAATCCTATGGTGCATAGTTCTGCTCTGACACATTTGGGATCACTATGTTTTATAAGCCACTTACAGAGGCAACGCATGCATCAAAGAAATACACCCATTCCTCATTTACTAACTATCTCATTAACCGACATTTTGTGACAGTCATAAAAAAAATCTACTCCCCAACTATTTTGTGTGTTAACAACAAACATCTGGCAATAAGGAACACTGGAGTGCAAGGCAAGGGTAGTGCTGACTACGATGGTTATGGTTATGCATCAGCTTGGCTGGGCCATGATTCTTGTTGTTTGTCAGCTATGTAACGATGTCATAATCCTTTATTTTGTGATCTACTGTGGTCATCCTCCATTTCTGGTCTTTAGAACTTAACCATGTTGGTAAACGAGGAATAGGTATAGTTTTTACTAATCCACTCATGTATTCCATTAATGAACAAAGATATATTGCACTTCCTGATGTGGCACTGTGGGTTAATGTGCTGGACTGCAAATATGACTTGAACTGCAAGGTCGGCAGTTCAAGTTCACTAGCTGCTCCTAAGAAACCCTATACAGGGTTGCTATGGATCAGAACCAACTCGATGGCACTTAACAACATATTGGACTTCTACTGGAGGCTACAAACCGGGGACACTTCACTTAACAAATCTAATGGGGATTGATGAGTGAATCAATGTCATGTAACAAGTGTTCTGCTCTAGAGTAATACTGTGGAACAACTGGGTTAAATCTGCAGGGAACGTTGAGTGGGGCAGTGGTAGAGGGGATCTTGTGAATTCCCCGTCATGAAAAGATTCAAAGAGGAAGTGACACTGGATAAAGGTTTTTAAAAAAATGAGTAAGTGGTTGCCAAGCAGATAAGGCAGGCATTGTGAGAGGAACCAGAGAGAGCTGAGTGAACAGATGCACGTATCCTCGTGGGAGAGAGGATGAGTTGGTGGAAAGAAGGCAAAAGGGGACAGGAAGAGGCACAGGGTGGGGTGGGGAAATCTTTGAGGGCACATTGCAAGTTTTTAAACAGAGAAGTATCATAATCATAAGCAAAAAACAATCGCCACCAAGTGGATTCTGATTTGTGACAACACCCTGTGTGGAAGAACAGAACTGTGTTGTATCTGGTTGTCAAGGGCTGATTTTTTGTTTTTGTTTTTGTGGGGTTTTTTTCAGGTAGATCGCCAGGACTTTCTTCTGAAGAGCCTCTGGGAGTAGACTCAAACAGCCTACCTTCTGGTTACCAGCTGAGGGCATTAGTAGTTTATACCTTCTGGGAACTCTTAGCATACCATGTATGTCCTAAATTAAAATCCGACCTTATCACTTGGAGTGATTGCCACACCTTTACAAGTCTAACAGGGACTTGAGAAGTTATTTAATCAACCTGCTATCTCAAGATAGAAATGGAAAGAGAAAGAAATGAAATTGATCCATCAATTGAATTAGAGTTTCTATGAGTTGAAATTGACTCAATAGCAGTGGGTACCATCAAGCTTTGTATGAAAAAATGATGTGTTTCTTACAAACATAACCAATGAGGGAACCAGCACATGAGGGTGGGTCAAAAAGTTCATGGAAAAATAGAATCAGAAGATAATGGCACTTTTCCATAAACTTTTTGTACTAGCCAGTGAGCCCTGGGTCATCCAGGCAAGAGCAGTAAGTAAGATGCAGACATGTGGCATCATATTACTGTCCTTGAAAGATGATGGGAAAAGTTGGTTCATGAGCCTTCCATAGATTTCACAGATGGAAAGTTTTTGTGCACTTTTCTCCCTCTGTAACAAGAACTAATGGATACGGCATTATTGCTTTTAATTCTTACCACAGTCCTAAAACCAAGGAGTCCTGATGCGATGCTGTAGGATAAGCGCTGTATCACAAGGTCAGTTTGAACTATAAGGTCAGTCGTTCGAACTCACCAGCCGCTTCTTGGAAACCCAATACAGGGTTTCTGTGAGTAGGGACCAACTTGAAGACACTTAATAGCAGCATAAATGAGGTAGGACAGTAAATTACAGACCTCATTTTAAAGATGAGAAAATTAAGTCTTAAAGAGTTTAAGTGATGTTAGGCCTTAAATGACAGCTACTTAACCCTAGATCCCATGTTCGTTCAACTAAGCATGCTGAAGCTTGAGAGGCAAGTTCAGTCTCATCTCCCTGTTGCACATTCAATGAAAAAGGACTTCAGAAATTCTAGCCCAATACTGTTGTTGTTATATGCTGTGGAGTCAGTTCCGACTCATAGTGACCCTGTACAGGGTTTCTGAGGTTGTAAACCTTTACAGGAGCAGAAAGTCTCATCTTTCTCCCTGGAACAGCTGATAGTTTCGAACTGCTGACCGTGAGGTTTGCAGTCCAATTCGTAACCACTACACTACCAGAGCCCAATACTATGGGAAAACAAATTGGAACCTCCTCATCAGTCCCCTTGCCCAGGGCTCTGTCTTACTGATCTCAACTCTGGTAGAGTTGAGACCCTGCCTTCCTCTTGATAATTTCCCGTGGCTTGGCATCTTGATAATTTCACTAACCATAGCTTGGTATCTTGATCCCAGATTTCCCTGATGCTAACTGGTTGTTGCCTTAATTCTATGAGGCTGAATTTCTATGGGATACTATTCTGTTATGCTATGGCATGCTCTTTTCTCTTTCACTTTCCTGAAGCTTACCAGGACCATTTTCATGGATTATCTGATGACTGGATGTCCTCACATTCTGCTGTATCATCTCAGAGTCTTCTGCCTTGACTTTTTCTGCAAACGTAAGTAAGCCCTGCCTGGCATCTGACAAGCCTAGTTCCAAACATTCCCTCCCACTTTGCTCTCCTAATGAACCACTGAAATTCCTGGATGGTGCAAACACTGAACATGCACATCTGCTAAGGAAAAGGCTGTCAGTTTGAGTCTCCCCAGAGGTCCCTGGAAAAAGGCCTAGCAAATCTACTTCTAAACACTCGGTCGTTGGAAATTGAAGCACAATTCTACTCTAATACACAAGGGGTGGCCTTGAGTTGGAATCGACTGTTTCTTTAATGAAATATCAGTCTTATCAGGCTGGCCAGGTCTTTTAACTAGATACACATTCTGCCCTTCTCTGGCTCCACAACTTTGCCCTCACCTTCTTTACCCAGTCTCCTCTTCAGAATTCTTCTTCACAAATACTCAATGATATTTTACCATTTAAGAATTGCCCATTTCTCTGAATTCCCAGAACATATTGTGCAGACAAGGAGCTCTGGTAGTGTAGTGGTTACAAATCGGGCTTCTAACCTCCAGGTCAGCAGTTCAAATCTACCAGTCATTCTATGGGAGAAAGATGAGGCTTTCTGCTCCCGTAAAGATTTACAGCCTCGGAAACCCTGTACAGGGTCGCTATGAGCCGGAACTGACTCCACGACACATAACCACCACCACCACCTCACACACAAGGCCCAGGCAGCACTCAGAAAGTATCGCCTTCCCCAGCTCCCATTTCACACTTGCAAGACCTTTTTACCTGTGAAACAGTGATTAAAAATCTTCTTGTCCTTCTCAAGATTCAGTTCTTTTATTCCTTTGTCAGTGTCTTTCATGGACAGATACATGGCACTGCACAGAGATGAAGACAAGTAGGTGAGCGAGGAGATTTCAGAATGGTGTGTCTTCTCTGTAAGTTGTCAATTGGGAAAGCCTGGCTATGAGCATGACCCCCCGCCCCATCCCTGGGTGGCCCTGAGTCTAATCTCCCCACGTCATAAATGGTCAGAAGGAAGAATTCAGATGTATCTACATCTGTGGCCTGCAAAGCACTTAACAAAATGCACTAAGTAAGTATTAAATGTATCTGAATTTATTAATTCAATGTATTAAATATATCTGAATTTATTCATTCAAATTATTCATTCAAAATGCACCTGGAAGGCATTAAATGTATTTTGAATTTATTAAGCTTTTTGATCTATCTCTTGGTATCTGAGATGGAGAGTTGTCACCACTTAGGTGCCAAATATTAAATGTTCTTGGGGTCAATTTTCCATACCCAGTCAGAGCCTAACATTGTCTGATTCCAGATCATCAAGGGCCACCCCCACCCCCCTGTCCCAATTCTTTAAGGGTCTTCAAGTGTAGAGATTTGAGGATCTAGACATTTGCCTCTAGGCTGAACACTTTGACTGAATTTACCTTAAAAATAATAAGAGGTAAGGCAAAATTTTATTAAAAATAATAAACCAAAAACGTTCTCAGAGTATTCCTAAGCAACAAAGCCAAATGCCACTTTGTATGTAAACTGTGTCTCCACATAGCCAGAGCGCTCTTTCACTTAGCTCAGACAGCTGTGGCCAGGAATGTTGCCACTCAGCAGATGCAGCTAGATTAGGCTCCGCCTCTTGTTTCTTTACCAGAAAGCTTCCTTGGTGAGGAAAGCTGCTCTTCTCAGTAGGTGCAATTCTCACACTTTACTATCAGATTCTTAATCTGTACACGCCCTGGGTTAGGCCCCTCTCAGGAACCACCTCCCACCCACCCCTATTGAAAATTTAAGCAGCCAGCATGGACTTCTTCTTAATGAGGCTGCTGTTCCAGGGTATGCTTGATGGGATTGATGTCAAAGCAAAACAACCAGGAAGCAAAGAGCTCCTGGAAAGGGGGACTCATATGACAGGAGAAGATAGAAGGTATGGAACATGTAGGGAAATGCAAATCCTATCCCCAACCTCTGTCAGAGGCTGAATTTACCTATTTGTCTCTGACTACTATCAGGCTAAGGAGCTCTGGTAGCATAGTGATTATGAGTCGGGTTAGGAGCCGCAAGGTCAGCAGTTTGAAACTACCAGCTGTTCCGTGGGAGAAAGATGAGGCTTTCTGCTCCCGTAAAGATTTACAGCCTCAGAAACCCTGTGCAGGGTCATTATGAGTTGGAGTTACAGCCTCGGAAACCCTGTGCAGGGTCACTATGAGTTGGAACGGACTCTACAGCACATAACAACAACAGCTGTTAGGCTACAACTCTTACCTGCAACTCCAAGATCAGAGGCCATTAAATCTGGTCAGGACTCAAACAGGTTCTGCCTACCATTGGTGCCAACCCCAGCAGGTCCTTACTGGCTTTATAAAGGCTTGAACTTGAAAACTGGAACACCTGTCTTTTCCTCTCTATCTGGAGATCCTGGAACTTTCTTCAAGACTAATTTACAATGGTTTAAGGCTTTCTGCTCCTGTAAAGATTTACAGCCTCGGAAACCCTGTGCAGAGTCGCTATGAGTCGGAACCAACTCCACGGCACAACAACAACAACAACAACAACTCATAAATGCAATGCAAGTTGTTCAGGATACCCCAAATGAGGAAATTTACATTCCACTATCCTGGAGTTCTCAGCAGCTAAGCCTTGGAGAAGTCTCGCTCACTCTTTCAGACCCAGGAAGAATGAGTACAGCTGTCAGAAGTAAACAAAGCAAGCCTTGGAGCAAAACCTGTTGTGAGATTTCCTCAAAGGATTAAAAAAGGGGTGGCAGTGAAAGACAAGCAAAAAGTCACCTTAAATCAATAGTTTCTGGCAGTCGAATGGATTTCCTGGTGGATTTCCTTGCAAACTTCTGGCCTCCTTCAATACATTTAATGGCTTTCTTGGTGTCCCGAACCCAGGCATCTCTCTCCTCCAGGAAGGCTGCCTGGAAGAAGTGGTCCTGCTGTTTGGTAGTGGTGATCTTAAACACAAACTGAAAATTAAAACACATCCATTAGGAATGAAACCTTTCAAGGGGCTGAGGCAAAGCAGCTGACACAGCCTTGTTCTAGAAGTGCTTGATTCTCACAGTTCCAGATCCAAAGACCAGGGCAAGAGACTGGTAGGACAGGCTGGCCCAGGGCATGCCATTCACAATGTGGGCTGCACCCTTGTCTGTCAGTGTTTGACAAGGTGTTTCCTGTGACTAGTGATGCCAACTCACCATTCTTTTGCCAAAGTCTTGACAAGGGCTAGTCAGAGCACTTCCTTTCAAGGGGATCATTCCTTTGGGACTATTGTCACTTTTCTTCTTATAGAATTCAATTCCATCTTCTAATAATACAACCCACATGGGTTTCCAGGTGTTGAACACACTCCCCTGAAATGACAACAAAAAGAGTGGATATTCTTTGTAAATTCCATTTTCTTCCTAAGTGGGCTGGTTCTGTAGTTTCTTAAGAGTTGACTTTTTAAACTGTTTTTGTGACCTCATCATTTGCTGCTCCAACATAGTGCTCTTTTATGGGTGGCTTCTTGAGGTATCATTCCAATTTCTACCACTGACTCTTTGCTCTAGCTGATCCCACTGTCTGAAATTCCTCTTCCCAACTCCCTCCCACTCCTCTTTATCTCCTTGAACTTTCTGCATCCTTCAACAAAAAATTTTAAATAGCCCGTGGTCGTGGAGTTGATTTTAGCTAATGGTGAGACCTCATGTTGCACAGTTGAACTGCTCCCTAGGGCTCTGTTAACTGTAATCTTATAGAAGTATATCATAAGCTCTTTCTGGTGTTGCACCGCTGGAAGGGGTCAAACCAGCAACCTTTAGATTAGTAGTCAAACAAACACAGACCATTTGTAGCACCCAGGGACTCTATATCCTTCAGGACTCAGCTTAGCTCACCTCATTGGCGAAGCCTTTCCAAATGGCACCAATCCTTATTACTGTGAGATCTGCTCCTACTTTTCTTATGGGCTTTGCCACATATCCTGAAAGTTTGAGGTGTGCTACATTATATAGTAAGATGCTCTGGTTGTACAGTGGGTTGTGAGCTGGGCTGCTAACCACAAGATCAGGAGAAAGCTATGGCTTTATGCTCCTGTAAAGATTTATAGGCTTGGAAACCCTATACAGGGTCACTATGAGTCAGAACCAACTCAACAGCACACAACCACTACCAGCACATTATACAGTTATTCAGTTGCTTTAAATGTGGACATCTCTTCTCTGTGGCAATAACACCAGCTACTTTCATTTGCTCATCATACTGAGCACAGACTAGATGTTCATTAAAATCATAGGAAAGATGCTTTTCCCCTAAACTGCAAATGCTATCTATCATCACACTTCACTGAAGAAAAAAAAAAAAGACAACTCCTTTTCATTCTATAATCAGTTCCCAATCAGACCCTGCCTTGCTATAATTTCCCCAAAATGACATCTGCATTCACTGACCTAGAACCACAAAGTACTGGTCTAGTAGTAAAATTCTCACCCTGTGGTGGTGTGTAAGAACTGTTAGTATGTCTTTCTTTTGTAACTAGCTCTTATCACAATCTTAGAGCATGGCTCATATTTTTTTGTCCTCATTTATTTTCAAAAAATTTAACTGGTTTCCTTCAGGGGAAAGAAAATAGATAAGTAGGTAATTATTGGCTTTGGGTTGGAAGGGTTTTTTGTTTTTAAGAAATTTCAGCTCTTGAGAGTTTGTCAGAATTGACAAAAGAGTTAAATAGTCTAAAGTCAAAAATGTCATCCTTTTCCCCCTGCTGTTGTTGTTAAGTGTTTCTTAAAATATCGTCTACTGACTATGCAACTTACTGAAAATGAATGTATTTAAAAGTTGGCCACACCCCAAATTTGCCTTCAATTATAAACCCATCTTTGGATGCTGAAATCACAAATTTTAGAAGACCTCATCTGTGTTGGAAGAAGTGCAGCCAGAATGCTCCTTGGAGGCCAGGATGGCCAAATTTCACCTGTCATACCTCGAACATATTGCCAGGAGGGACCAGTTGCTAGAGAAGGATATCATGTTTGGTAAGGTGGAGGGTCAGAGAAGAAGAGGAAAACCCCCAGAAAGCTGGAGTGGCAAAATGAAAGCATCAATGGGCTCAAGCGTGGCAACAATTGTGAGGTTGGCCCAGGACCGGGCAGTGTTTCGTTCTGTTGTACAAAGGGTTGCTATGAGTCGGTACTGACTCAATGGCACCTAACAACAACAACAACAACAGGCAAGTGCTTCCCTACTGCTCATACTTGGACAAGCAACTTATCCTCTCTAAGCACCAAGTGCCCAGCAATCAAATAAAGAAAATAATGAGCATATCAGAGATTTCTAGTACACATGTGCAGTCATGTGGACAGAATGCTGTAAATTCTAATGTGTTTGATGATTTGAAAGTTTTATTTATTAAGTATCTTGAAAAACAGCAACATAGGAATGTCTTCATACTGTGAATTTCCAGCACAATAAACAGCCATCCTTTTATACTATCTCTATTCCTGGAAAATGATAAGGAGCCAGTATCACTCTCATTAAGATGATAAGGAAGAAACTCAGGAGCATTTAGCCACTTGTCACTTAGAGCCAAGAAGGAGAAAGCTGAAGGCTCTGTGGCAGTACGTTAAGGAGGGAACCAATCACCCCGCTCTGTTTTCTTTCCTGGTACAATCCAGTTCAGGGATCTTCAGGGATCTGGCTTGCACTGGATTTGCATGCCTTTTCTGCCACTGCATGATATGTCTGTATTTAGGAAGCCCAGAGATCTGGGAGGACTTGGGGTCAAACCTCCTACTTGGATTTGTGTTTCATGTTGATCTCTTTATTAGTTGTATTGTTCTTGGGAAAAATGCTCAGCTTTTCTGAGTCTTGGTATTTTCTTTTGTAAGAAGGAGTTAATTCTAACTTATACAATGGTTGTTGTTGTTCAGTACCATTGAGTTGGTTCTGACTCAGAGTGACCCTGCATAGGGTTTTTGAGGAGTGATTGGTGAGTTTGAACCACTGACTTTGTGGTTAGCAGTCCACTACAGCGCCACACCAGGACTCCTACAAGATGGTACCAGGTATTCAATTTGGTTTAGACTGTGTATAAAACATACATATGTAAACACATAATATGTCTATGGAGTCCTGGTGTGGCACTGTGGGTTAATACGCTGGATAGCAAAGCCAGCTTGAACTGCAAGGTCAGCAGTTCAGGCTCACCAGCCACTCCTTGGAAACCCTACACAGAGTCGCTATGGGTCAGAACCGACTCAACGGCACTTAACAACAACAACAATGTGTCTATAAAATGTAGTTTGAAAAACACTGTCAACTATAAATTGCCACATGTTCTACCTTTATATGTAAGTATCTCATTAATATATCATTAGATGTTAAATAAAGTTGTGGGGAAAATGTTATTAGAATCATATTATGTGCTAATAGGTAGGTAAAACTGAACAAAAAGAAAAGAAGAAATGACCAACAGAAGAATCAAAAAATAATAATGTGTAACTGCTTTCTCGGGAGAAAGATGAGTCTTTCTGCTCCTGTGAAGATTAAAAGTCTCAGAAACCCTATACAGGACCACAATGTGTCAGAATCAACTCAATGACATTTAACAACTGCTTTCTAAAACTATTCTATAAATGTGTGCAGGGCTTAGGAAATACTCTAGCTTTGGCCATTGTAGAAGTAGGTGACCCACTTTTGTTTGACCAGAATACTCAGGTAAACAACATCCTGAGGAGAAGGGGACTGCCATCCTAGCTGATACCTAAAAAGAAAAATTGAAAATTCAATATATATACATATAGAATCAGTCCATAAACCCCTCAAGGGTCATTACAAAGGTAAAAATAGTATGACTACTCCACACTCCACTTTGTGAACTTCAAGGTCCCTTTCTGTGGTTTATTTGCCCTTACCAAGCCTAACGACTGTGCCCAGTTTAACTCAGGAATAGCAAATATATTCTACCAGTGGCTGTCTGAGACTAGATTGACTGAAAGTGTCATGGTCAACCAGCAATGTCTACCATAGGCATAGAGTCCTTGTGTGGCGCTGTGGGTTATTGCACTAGACTACAAAGTCGGTTTGAACTACCAGGTTGGCAGTTCAAGCTCACAAGCCACTCCTCAGAAATCCTATACAAGGTCGCTATGTGTCAGAACCAACTCAATGGCACTTAACAACAACAATAACTGTAGGCCTGGAGGCCCCAAATAGTGACATAGGTATTGCAGTTGTTTCTATCCCTGGTCTAATCGGATTTTATCTGACTATGAATGTCAAGTACATCTATGGGCTGTTGTTGTTGTTAAGTGCTATTGAGTTGGTTCCAACTCATAGTGACGCTGTATAGGGTTTCTGAGGAGTGACTAGTGAGCTTGAATTGCCAACCTAGAGGTTCAAAGTGACTTTGCAGTCCAGCGCATTAGCCCACAGTGCCACACATCGCTAAGTTGTGTGAAATGGTCTATAGCATGAGAGTGATGTTAGCCACACAATGCAGCCCTAGGGAAAATCCTTACTTAAGAAGTTTTTATTTTAGTTTAGTGCCAACTGTCCCTTTAGCAATAAATGGGCCATAATGACTAGACTGAGGAAATCCCTCCTTCTGGTCTATGTTATGAGAGGGCTTTGGTAAAGGGAAAGTATGGGTTCTTTTACTCTCTTCATCTCCTGACGCATGATGTCAGCCCTGCCATGACCACACAAATGGGATTATCATATAGTTCCCAGAAGATCCTGGTGCTTATCTAAATGACCAAGCTCCAGTTATCTAAAAGGAAGACTGTGTAAAGAAGATAAATGCAAATACTCATGAGACTGTCAGTCTACTTGTCCGAACATTTCCTTTGTTTTATTACAAAAAAAACATAAAACATTAAAAACACTTATCTCATTTCTCTTCAGGCAGAACAACTATTCAAACTAACACTGGATTGTTTCCCTTTTTAAAAAATGGGCAAGTCAGACACTGTATGTTACCACATGAGATAATTTCAATTAAAAGCCTTTCTGTTTTTATTGAGAGAGAGACTCCCATTTAAACTTTCTGTTTCATCTGAGAGGAACTCATATCCACTATATAAATATCCCCTTCAAATCAATAAGAAAATACACACAATCCAATTCTTAAATGGACAAGACTTGAGCAGGCACTTTACTAATGAGGACGTCAAGTAAGTGTACGTAGAAATGTGCCGCAGCAACATTAATCAGGGAAATGCAAGTTAAAACCCCAATGAGTTTACATACCAACTGGTGTTGCTAAGTGTCACAGAGTCAATTCTGACCCATAGCGACCCTGTATAGGGTTTTCGAGAAGGGGCTGGTGGGTTTGAACCACTGACCTTGTGGTTAGCAATCTAGTGCTTATCCT